TCCTTGATGAAAACCTGCTCCAGAGCGCTCAGGACCTCAGACTGGGGCGAAGGTTCACCTTCAGGACAACAGCCCTAAGCACACAGCCAAGACAACGCAGGAGTGGATTCGGGCCAAGTCTCTGAATGTCCTTGAGTGGCCCAGCCAGAGCCCTTGAACGCGATCTAACATCTCTGGAGAGACCTGAAAATAGCTGTGCAGCGACGCTCCCCATCCAACCTGACAGAGCTTGAGAGGATCTGCAGAGAAGAATGGGAGAAACTCCCCAAATACAGGTGTGCCAAACTTGTAGGTCCCCTGTAGTTCAGTTGGTAGAGCATGGCGCTTGCAACGCCAGGGTTGTGGGTTCGTTTCCCACGGGGGGCCAGTATGAAAAATGTATGCACTCACTAACTGTAAGTCGCTCTGGATACGAGTGTCTGCTAAATGACTAAAATGTCAAATGTAAAATACCCAAGAAGACTCGAGGCTGTAATCGCTTCCAAAGGTGCTTCAACAAAGTACTGAGTAAAGGGTCTGAATACTTATGTAAATGTAATATTTCTATGTTTTATTTTTTATAAATTCTAAAAACCTGTTTTTGCTTTGTCATTTTGGAGCATTGTGTGTAGATTGAGGGGAAACAATAATGTAATCTATTTTAGAGTAAGGCTGTAACGTAACAAAATGTGGAAAAAGTCAAGGGGTCTGAATACTTTCCGAATGCATATAGTGTATATCTGTACCTTACCCTTCTGTGATTTAGAGCTAATAGGGTGATTATGGAAAATGTAGCTATGGTGATTATGGATGATGTATCACCTGTGGGACATCGATCAGAGATCGAGCCATAATCGAGTAGCTGAACTGTGTTTGACTTCAACATTTGCTGTACATTGTCATTGATAACAATAACAGCAATGTCAAAGTTATGGCCCAATACTCTAACACTGGTATTTATAGTCCATAATGTGTGATAATAGGTATCTTCTGTTGTTTTTTCCCTCTAGATATTGTCTAGATATTTTATCAGTTTCCATGACACTAGCGGGGAATGCAATGTTTGCTTTGAAAGGGAAGAATACCCAAATGTGGCAACATCAGTCAATGATTAATGGCACATCGTGGTATCATTTTAGCGGTGCCTATCTCAGTGTACATTCCAACAGTGGTCACTTATGGACACTGGACAGTACTCTATATGCATTCAACCCAATCTGGCAATGTAAACAGTGTTGCATAGAGAGCTTTTTTTAAACCTTTATTTTATCAGGGAGTCCCATTGGGACCAAGGTCTCTTTTGCAAGGGAGCCCTTCATATATAAACATTGATTAACACTGAACAGAAATTAGCCCTAAAACAAGCAAACTCACTATTTGTTTTGACATCATCATATTTAATAGGTTCCAAAAACAAACAATACACATTCACATCCTTTAGAATACAGTACATTTGGCACACAGCAAAATGCTAACAATGACATAACACTAATAAATGGCAAAGGAATTCAAAATAAAACATCAGTCAGGTGACAAATTGTACATATAAAGCTTCACAATACAGAAACCGAAAATGAAATCCGGTTTCCCAGACCCAGAATAAGCCTTGACCTGGTTTAAAAAGCAATTTAAATAGATATTCTTTATTGAACATGCTTTTTAGTCCAGAAGTAGTCATAATTTGGGTCCGGGAAACCGAGCCTAAATGTATAGAGGTACATACAGTAATATAATGCATACGTCTGTATGTTTTATTCTACTGTATGTAAAAAAAAATACATAATACTTAGCCAGACATATTCATACACACAATTTAAGAGGTACTTCTCCAGCCATGTACAGTATATTATACTTATTGAGCGTTACTTCTTCAATGACTTTACAACAGACCAAATGGGTTTCCTTTGTGCTGTTTTTTTCTTCTTCCTTTTACAAACAGTTTAAAAAGTCTAAATAAAAGCAGGATGGAGTTAGGATTTGGCATGGAGGATTTTGGACATCTAGGGCCACCGTCCTTATGGGTCAGAGTAGGACAGGGATCCGCCATCTTACAAAACAAAAACACAAACATAAGAGGCCTAACATCCAGAAGCACAGACAAAACACAGAGACTGTAAACCGAAGAGACAGGTAAATTAAATTAAAGGACACGATACAGACAGAGAGACAAGAGCGTAGATATGAGCTATATGAGGGGAGACAAGTACTGTAACGGTTAAATCATAAAAAACTGGCATAAGGAAACAGCATTGTGCCAGTCTGAATGGTGAAGTCTGTCAAATGTCCTCTTCACCTTCAGATCCTTTAACACTGTTCTCATGTTGCTATGCACTAACTGGGTAACAGAGGGGATCATGTGATTAATTGACACAGGTGCCTACATGTCAAATGCATGGGCACTTCAGGTGTATGAAAGGCCTACATGCAGTGGTGTGTGTGTGTGTGTGTGTTGGGGGGGGGGGGGGCATTAAGCATTTTCATGATCTAGTATGAGAGGCATGTTTAAAGCCATTAGAATACTGCTTGAGATCAGTATTGCTTTGACAGTTGGTGCCATGATACTGTCCACTATTACTGCTGTTCCTACCACTGTTGCTACAGTTACCCCTGCTCCCCATACCAGAACTGCTACTGCTAGTGGGGCTAGCACTATTATACATGCTACTAATAATACAACAACTACACTACTTAAACTACTACTACTAAAACTACTACTACTACTCCAATAACAACTGCTACTGCTACTTCTACAGTATTGCTACTTTCACTACCACAGTGCCACCCCTGCCTCTTCAATTGCAAAAAGTCCTACTATTATGAATCCAAATTTCGAACGCTACTTTAAAGTTACTACTCCAAAATGGAATGTACTACTTGCAGTATTGTAACAAACCAACATTGTTATTTTTGTGGTCTACTGACAGAATATGACAGTAGATTTGACTTTACCTTGATTTGGTGTAGGCTTACAATAAACCCTATATTGGCCAGAGAGTTATTAGGCATGAGTGCATTAAGAAGGTCAATGGTTTCCATAACATTAATTAATCCAATAGCTTTGCTAACATTGGTTACATTGATGTTTTAAAGAGATATGCTATAGGAAATGAAGACCTTTTCAAAGAGAGTTAAGGAGAGAGGGCAGGGAGAGGGTTGGTGAGGTGGTTTGATAGAGCATTCTGAAGGAAGCACATAGACATGGCTATCAACTGAGTTGAGGACAGGCAAATGAAAACAGCCATGCATATACTCCAAAAACCAAACGGACCGCAATAGCAAAGAGTATGTGGGAGGAAGAACAGGGAAGACACCCGGCAAGAAAGAAAAGGAAACTTAAAACAGACAGAAACATACACAGAATATTGCACATGGACATTGTAACTTTTTCATATTCTAATAATACACAATAATATCATATGCATGACCATGCAATGTATGATACCTCTATTTCTCCAAGAAGTCCACAGGCTTCTATATACAAGGTGGTCTGTACAGCGGGAAAGACACGGCTATCTGGTGATGCCTTCACCCACATGATTGTGAGTCTTGTTGCATAGCAGGGAAATCCAGGATTTCAAACTCTGAGCAACAAGACAATCCAGTAAAATCACGGCAAATCAAACATAATGAAATAAAACAGACACAATGAAATAAAACTGACCCAATGAAATAAAACTGACCCAATGAAATGTAAAAGCTTCAAGAGGGCCCTTCTCATGAACCCACTGCCTATATCGCACACGCACAAACAGACTCGCACAAACTAGCATACGTACAGTATCCTAACTGACACAGACACACACACGCAAACAGACGCCATACATGCAGTTGCATCCCAACGATCACTCATGCATACAAGCACATTCTTCCACATTGAAACCCATGACATTCATTTGGAATATATGAAGCTAGACTACCATAACACTGTGGGCATATCTACAATACATAACTGGTTTGCAGTTACACACAAAAGGCATTTTATGTACTATACATGGACTCATTCTAATTCTGCCGTCGTTTTGATCTTGAGGAAACTTTTAAACAGTATCAATAGTTACAGGCTTCTCTTTTTTATTGATACTGTGAACCAATCAGTTTTTAGCTTTTTTTTAAATACAATCATTGGTTCTATGGATTTGGTTATTCGCATTCAAACACGACAGAGGAGGAGATTCTAGTACATCGAGAGACTTACAGGACAGGTTGAGAAATTACAGATTAATATAATAATATCATAGTTTCAGTGTCATATACTCACTGAAGAACTAGGATAGTTGACGAAACAGTTGAAAGTATGACCTATCATACAGAGACCATGTCGAACAAGACCCCTGCCCAAAGCACACATAACCCCTGACCTTGAAATCTTTATATACACATAAAGTTGACACCGTCACGCAAACATTCCCTGTTCATTTAATAGTCCACTGGAAAGGGCCTTGTGACATAATCTGGGGCTGGACTGTGAGGAGCTTTCATCACTGTTATCAACCTGGGCCAAGGGCCAGGCTATATTCAGTCTCAGGAGACCAATCCAAGGGCCATCCTCCACCACAAGGAGTTATTTTTTTCACCACTCTGATTGGATCAGGAGTGATCTGGACCAGCCAATAGGAACTTGATAATAAAGCAGATGGGCTTCCTATATGACCTACTCTTGAATTACATTGTTTTTTAACATAGAAAACATGCACTGATGGACAGACAGACAAATATACTGGTACAGCGCTGTAGATGGTCAGGTTTAAGTTTTGGAGTTGGTACTAATCTTAGGCCCTAATGGCCGGAGTGTTGTATGAGTATGTGAATGCAATAATTGACTCTGTGTGTATTGTACAGTATATTTCTGGATGTCTGTATGTGAGAAAATATGTATGTATGTGTGTTTGTGAATGGGAGTGTGTATGTCAGTGTTCCTGCATATACATGCATGTGTGTGTGTTGGTGTGTGTGCATAAGCACAAGGATGCGGCGGAGAGCATCTGTGTTTGTGTGTGTGTGTGTGTGTGTGTGTGTGTGTGTGTGTGTGTGTGTGTGTTTGCAGGCCTTAGGACAGAGTCTCCTCTCCTCCAAAGTAGGAGAAACCCTTGAACTCGTCTTGGTTGATCTGCTTAATAATGGCGTCTTCTACAGGGGTGAGGACAGGCTCCTCACGAGTGAAGTCCTGGTCAAAGTTGTTCACGTCCCTTTTGGTTTTCTGTACAGGAGCAGGAAGGAAGGGAAGTAGAAGGGTCAGATAGTAAGGAAAAACAGGATGATGACTGCCAAAGAATTAGACCTCTGAAAACATTTATAAAGACAGTCATAGTGTTATTACTAGTGAATTAGTGTCACATATGGATTGACTGTTGTTTGTGTTTCCTTGATAAAGTCATTCTAAAACAAGGCTGATTGACATTTAGACTTGGATGGAGTGATCACAGAACCTCTCTTTCATGCCCCCAATTCTCTCATTCACGTTGTGTGATTCTTGAGGCGCTTGTCGTCCCCTCTCTGTATACATGGGAACAGGACGGACCCTTCCCCTCACACCCCTTCAGGCATTTCATAATACCTCATACCCAGCCCATTCCGCAGCTCTCTATCTTTACACTATACACACACAGGAATACTGATGTAGGATCATCATCTAAGCCTGTTTTCTACAGCAGGAAAATATTGCTGCAGCCACAGGAAATGTGAATTATTATGTGGATTGAAATTAATGGACATTTTTGTAGGAGTAAAAAAAAAAAATCTTAAGCAAAAATCAAGTCTGACATTTCTAAGTGGAAATTACAAACTTCAGAAGCCTTTTAAAACCTCAAATACACTACAAGTAAAAAATGTCCTGCATTGCAGGAAAGTTCTCCTGCAACAAGATGATCAAATTAAGATCCTACATCTGTACGGCAGTGTAAGTTCATGTTTGTATGGCACAGACACAGGCCTCCCCTACAGAGGCTGATTGTTGCACAAACATGCAAAGGAGCATGGTAAAAGAGAGGCAACTACTGTAGTAACACAGATAAACACACAATGGTGGCCTAGCGCTATAGTTGGGGCATACTAAAGTTAGGACCCAGAGTTCCAAACGCGCTATCGAGATTGGAACTTTGGAGATATTTACGATCTTAGTTTAGTTTATTTGATCAATTAAAAACAAGGTACAAATACTAAACTATACACTTGGTTAAGCGTAACAGAGGATAAACATATAAAAGTCTACGACTTATTTCCATGTTGAAGGTTAGGGGTTAATAATGGTGAGGGTGGAACAGTAGGGGCCCTAAAACATACAGTAAGGTATGTTCCCTAAGAGCTCAGACACACTCCGTGGTAAGGTTGACCCTTGGTGCAGATCTAGGATCAGCTTCCTCTTCCCCAATCCTAACCTTAAAATGCTAAACTGACCCAAGATCAGCATCTACGGGCAACTTCACCCTACATGGTCTGAGCTATAAGTGTGGTGCTACTCACAATGCGAGGTTTGAAGGGTGGTTTGACCCTCTTCTGCTCCAGCAAAACCCAGTCGATCTCCTTGAAGAAGGGATGAACCTTGATGGCTTCCTCCAAGCCCTGGGTGATCACACAACCCAGACGCTTGTTTGGACTCTTTGTCATGAACTACAGGACAGGAAAACAGGCAGATGAATAAAGGGGGAAGGAAAATAAATGTACTTGACTTAATCCTCTTGGCCCCCTTGGGAGCATGGGGCGAGGAAGTAAATGTTAGGAAGAGAGAAATGGAGGTGCAAGAGTGAGGGGTTGAGATGGTCAAGTGGTGCAGAGTGGTCTTAGTGATCTGCTCTGTGGTCATCGTTAAGAGGCCAGTGGTCATTTCGAGAATCTAGCGGCCAGATATGACCATTAGGACCACTGGGCCGGGTAATGTGACCAAAGTGCCAGTGAGACTGATCACAGAGTGACACGTGCCAGTCCAAGACAAGCATGCCTGCTTTCCCACAAGGCTTTGCAAACAGGCAGGGGACAGCCAAAGTAAACGCAGGACTTGTGATGGAAAAAAGATCACACAGGAACTAGGGACACACACACAAACTCACACACTCACAGGAATATCCTGCAACACTAAAACACAAATATAGAATTACACAATGTCCATACACACCAGCAAACAGGACACAAACGAAAAAGCACGTAATTCACATCCACACTCAAGCACACTAACAAATATTATGCCCCCCCATCCCCCCCACCACACACACACACACACACACACACACACACAGAAAGCCGGCCGCGTTCTTGGAAGAGGAGGACCCTCTGAATTCTGGGGCAGCCCACCCCGCCTCCCCGAGTGTGCGATTACACAAGCCCAGAAACCACCAGAGAACACAAACAGGCTGTTCTTTTCCCACATGAAGTGTAATATCTCCCAGGCCTCTCTCCCCAGCCCACACAGCACTGCACAGCCACTGTGGCTCTCTGAACTCAGCCTGAACTAACTCCACCCAGCCTTGCTCATCCTTGCTCCTCACTCTGCTAATCGCTGAACACCACTTTACTACCTCACCAGAGACAGACAGAGAGAGAGAGAGTGAGAGACAGCGGGAGGAGGAGGAAGAGGAGGAGGAGACGACAATAAGGTAAGGTGTGGGGAGGAAAGGGGGGCTGATAAAGAACAAGTCAAAGAATGAGTGGGAGAGAGAGGAAGATCGAAAGAGGAGGTGGTATAGGATTTTTTAAAAAGAGGGATAGTGAGAGATACAGGCAGACTAGGACAGGTAGGTATACTGTAGGTCACTGACCGCTTTGAGGATGGAGACTGCCTCCTTGCTTAGCCACACTGGGTAGAGGACATCATCGTGGAGAATAGACTCAAACAGGTCATCCTCATTGTCGGCTTCGAAGGGAGGCTGGCCAGCCATCATCTCGTACATAAGCACCCCCAGAGCCCACCAGTCCACAGAGGGGCCATATTCTAGCTCCTGTAGGATCTAAACACACAGGGGGACAGGAAACAATGTAACACCATCTCATTCAAAAGCTCCTATAGGATCTAAAACACACAGGGGGACAGGAAACACTAACACCAGCTACACTACAGCAGGATTAATATGGTAGTAAGGGGGAACAGAATAGTTGTGACACTAGCTCATTAGGGATGATATAGTGAGAGAAGGAGTAGAACAAATGAGTACATGAGTTTGATTGATTGATTGAGTGAGTGAGTGAGTGAGTGACTGATTGAGTGAGTGAGTGAGTGGGTGAGTGAGTCATTGACTGAGTGATTGATTGAGTGAGTGAATGAATGATTGATTGATTGATTGATTGATTGAGTGAGTGAGTGAGTGATTGATTGATTGAGTGATTGAGGGATTGAGTGAAAAAATGTTTGAATGAAACGGTGAGAGAGAAGCAGAGTAGAGGGTAAAGAGTCGAGTCAATGAAAGAGTACAGCATGTGAGAGAGTAACTTATGTACTGTGAGACTGTCCAAGATGAATGGGTGGTTGAATACTGTCAGACTGTCCCAGATAAGTGAGTGGGTGGTTTACTGTCAGACTGTCCCAGATAAGTGACTGGGTGGTTTACTGTCAGACTGTCCCAGATAAGTGACTGGGTGGTTTACTGTCAGACTGTCCAAGATGAAAGGGTGGTTTACTGTCAGACTGTAGAGGGTAGAGGGTAGTGGGTAGAGGATGAAGGGTAGAGGGTGGAGGGTAGAGGTTTACCTCTGGAGCGATGTAGTCAGGGGTCCCACAGAAGGTGGTGGTGGTGACTCCGTTGAGGATCCCCTCCTTACACATGCCAAAGTCAGCCAGCTTACAGTGGCCATGTGCATCCAGCAGGATGTTATCCAATTTCAGATCTCTGGAGAGACAGAGACAACATGAGGGCTGAGGGGTCAGAGGGAAGCAGTTACAAAGGTCAGAGGTCAGAGGTCAGGGATAGAAGAGTATAAATCTGTCAGAGAGAGAGGAGAGAAAGATAGTTCAAAAGTCACTGTGTCGTCAATCTATTGGGTAAAGAGTACAATAAAATCTACTGAAAAGGACATGGCTACTCTCAGTGTTCTTACTCAGTAAACAGACACAAGGCCAAATATACTCTCAGTGTTTTTACTCAGTAAACAGACACAAGGCCAAATATACTCTCAGTGTTTTTACTCAGTAAACAGACACAAGGCCAAATATACTCTCAGTGTTTTTACTCAGTGAACAGACACAATGCCAAATATACTCTCAGTGTTTTTACTCAGTGAACAGACACAATGCCAAATATACTCTGTGTTCATACTCAGTGAACAGACACAACGCCAAATATACTCTTAGTGTTCATACTCAGTGAACAGACACAATGCCAAAGGACTTTCCCAGTATGGAGGCCAAGAGCACTGTGAGGAGCTATCTGCACTACGGAGGCTACTCTTGGCACACATACAGTATGCGCTCTCACACGCATACGCACACACACACATACACACACACACTGTTCCACAGACACAGAGTCGTGTGTCTCTCTATCGCTCCTCTCCTTTATCGTGGGCAGTGAGCGAGGGATGGAGGGTGCTGTTCGAAATGGTGGGAGGAGAGGAACAGGAGAGAAGATAAGAGGTCTCTGATGAAAGATGCCAGGGAGAGGCATGAAACCAGTTGGGTCAGGGTTTGATGGTTGATTGCTGAAAATATGTCAACATCTTTTAACAGATGCCATTCAGCCCAAGGTGTTTTCACAAAACAGCCTCCCCGACCTGGGAGTGTGTGTGTGTGAGTGTGTGGCCGTTATACAACTGTTCTGTTTCAGAGAGGCCTAAAAAGGACACATCAATAATCTGCATGATTCTCCTTGGGAGTGACATGTGGTAGGTTTAGTCGGGTTCATTAATTCTTATAAAACATTGATTTAGTACAGGTAATATCACTATAGAGTTTCCTGCCAAGGAGCTATGTATGAATATGGCATCTCAACTATGCTGTGAAAGTCGGGGCTGATGTAATAACATCTGGTATCTAGTGTACATTGCAAGAATTCAAAGAAGTGTCATTCAAAAGCATTATAAAGCATATAAATAGGCCTATGTCAGGATTTGATTCGAGCTTTGATAAAACATTATATCCTGATGCTACCTGAGCATGAGCCATACATAAAATGTATTTAATGAGCCCTACATTAAAGACATTTAATGAGCCCAAGCCCAAAAAAGCCCAAATGATTGTGCCGTTATCCAATACATAATGATATAGGCTACTGCACATTACCCACGACAGAAAAACATAAAAGCCATAGATGCAGCTAGCTATTTGCTCTCTTGGGTAAATAAATGAAACTAGCTCCAGTAGGCTAATCTTTTTGAGTGTGAACTGTATTACTGTACAGTATTGTACACTGAGTATACAAAACATTAAGGACACCCAGTGGTAGAAAAAGTACCCAATTGTCATACTTGAGTAAAAGTAAAGATACCTTAATAGGAAATGACTCAAGTAAAAGTAAAAGTCACCCAGAAAAATTTTACTTGAGTAAAAGTCTAAAAGTATTTGGTTAAAAATATACTTAAGTATCAAAAGCAAATGTAATTGCTAAAATATACTTAAGTATCAAAAGTAAAAGTAAAGTTATAAATAATTTCAAATTCCTTATATTAAGCAAACCAGACTGCACCATTTTCTTGTTTTTAAATTTAAGGATAGCCAGGGGCACACTCCAACATTCAGACATAATTTACAAACGAAGCATGTGTGTTTAGTGAGTCCGCCAGATCAGAGGCAGTAGGGATGACCAGGGATGTTCTGTTGATAAAGTGCGTGAATTTGACAATTTCCTGTCCTGCTAAGCATTAAAAATGTAACAAGTACTTTTGGGTGTCAAGGAAAATGTTTGGAGTAAAAAGTACAATATTTTCTTAAGGAATGTAGTGAAGTAAAAGTAAAAAATATAAATAGTAAAGTAAAGTACAGATACACCAAAAAACTACTTAAGTAGTACTTTAAAGTATTTTTACTTGCAGTACCAGTCAAAGGTTTGGACACACCTTCTCATATTTTAGATTTTAGATTCTTCAAAGTAGCCACCCTTAGCCTTGATGACAGCTTTGCACACTCTTGGCATTCTCTCACCCAGCTTCATGAGGAATGGTTTGCTGAGCACTTGTTGGCTGCTTTTCCTTCCCTCTGCGGTCCAGCTCATCCCAAACCATCTCAATTGGGTTGAGGTTAGGTGATTGTGGAGGCCAGGTCATATGATGCAGCACTCCATCGCTCTCCTTGGTCAAATAGCCCTTACACAGCCTGGAGGTGTGTTTTGGGTCATTGTCCTGTTGAAAAACAAATGTCCATTGCTTGTGTTTCTTAGACCAAGCAAGTCTCTTCTTCTTATTGGTGTCCTTTAGTAGTGGTTTCTTTGCAGCAATTCTTGTCGACAGGGCTGTAGTGGAGCAGGTTGAGAGCTTCAAGTTCCTTGGCGTACACATCACCAACAAACTATCATGGTCCAAACACACCAAGACAGTCGTGAAGAGGGCACGACAATGCCTATTCCCCCTCAGGAGACTGAAAAGATTTGGCATGGGTCCTCAGATCCTCAAAAAGTTCTACAGCTGCACCATCGAGAGCAACCTGAATGGTTGCATCACCGCCTGGTATGGCAACTGCTCGGCCTCCGACCGCAAGGCACTACAGAGGGTAGTGTGTACGGCCCAGTACATCACTGGGGCCAAGCTTCCTGCCATCCAGGACCTCTATACCAGGCGGTGTCAGAGGAAGGCCCAAAAAATTGTGAAAGACTCCAGCCACACTAGTCATAGACTGTTCTCTCTGCTACCGCACGACAAGCGGTACCGGCACGCCAAGTCTAGGTCCAAAAGGCTTCTTAACAGCTTCTACCCCCAAGCCATAAGACTCCTGAACAGCTAATCAAATGGCTACCTGGACTATTTGCATTGTCGTCCCCACCCCCTCTTTTACGCTGCTGCTACTCTCTGTTTATTATCTATGCATAGTCACTTTAACTCTACCTACATGTACATATTAACTCAATTACCTCGACTAACCTGTGCCCCCGCACATTGACTCTGTATTTTTTACTTATCTATTATTTACTTAACACTTATTTTTCTTAAAACTGCATTGTTGGTTAAGGGCTTGTAAGTAAGCATTTCATTGTAAGATCTACAGCTGTTGTATTCGGCGCATGTGACAAATACAATTTGATTTGATTTGATTCGACCATGAAGGCCTGATTCACGCACTCCTCTGAACAGTTGATGTTGAGATGTGTCTGTTACTTGAACTTTGTGAAGCATTTATTTGGGCTGCAATCTGAGATGCAGTTAACTTTAATGAACTTATCCTCTGCTGCAGAGGTAACTCTGGGTCTTCTTTTCCTGTGACGGTCCTCATGAGTGCCAGTTTCATCATAGCGCTTAATGTTTTTTGCGACTGTACTTGAAGAAACGTTGAAAGTTCTTGAAATCTTCCGGATTGACTGACCTTCATGTCTTAAAGTAATTGTCACGGTTCAGACAGACGACCAGAGGACCACAATTGCGTCACACCAGAAAGTTTATTAAAACTTAAGGGAAAAGGGAAGTAGGGTGTGAATGAAGGCTCCAGGGGTAACAGGGATCCCGTCCAATGTGCTGGGTCTGTGCCCCCCCCAGTGGCAGCGATGCGTCCTATGAAGCCGGTGGTGGGTGGTCCAGAAGTCCTGGGGGGGGGGAGACACAGACACAACAGGGCGGAATGAAACAAGGCAGCAGTACAGTTCAAGGGAAATCCAAAATACGTAGTAGCAAGGCAGAAGGCTGGTCAGAGTTACCGGGATTGAAGAGTAGTCAAGAGTCGTTATGGCAGAAGCAGGTCTGGATCTCCTGGGGCAGAAGAGTATCCAAAAATCAGGCAGGTCCGGGGTCACAAAACCAGGGTGAGCCAGAAGCGCGAGCAAACAGGTTCCGGGTGTGAGCTTTGCAGACGATCTGACACCGGAGAGCTGAAAGACAGGGCCTTAAATACTGGGAGAGGTAGTGGGTAATGCAGCGCAGCTGGCAGAGTAATTAGAGCAGAGCAGAGCAGGGACAGGTGGAGCTAGTTAGGCTGAGTAGAGAGAGTGGTGAGCAGAGTGGAAGAAAATTAAGGTGGTAACCCGGTGGAGTGAGAGGCTCATGACAGTAATAATGGACTGTTGTTTCTCTTTGCTTATTTGAGCTTTCAACAGTTAAATGAAATTGGTTTCATTGTCCTTATCTTCATCATTCTAATGACATCCTTGAATAATATAGGACTAGAATTAGATGCAGAAGGCGTTCTCTTCTCTTAACGAAGATTGAATGGTTATGGGTCTGAATAAATAACTGCTATAGCCTACTGCCATCGCGCGTTCGCTTTTCTTTCAGTTCTAATGGCCGCTGTACTTAACATTCAGCAAACAAGAGCTTGCATCCCTCTTCGAATAGTCTATTGGTATAAGAAATGCTAAATAAAATAATGTCCAGCAAGCTATTCTAGTCTAGCTTTTCCTGCATGGGACTCCAAGAGCTAAGGAGTAATTTTCGAAGGAGTGGCCAGCGGAGACAGGTGCTTGCTTATTGCGCATGAGACAGAGGGTAGTTGGAAGCTTATTATGCATAACCCATCATTAATTAGCTAAATATAAGGCTAATACAGCATTGAATGTGTTACCTGAAATAGGTAGGCTAGGACATCTATATATAGGGCTATATATCAATCTAGAACAGGATTATCTATTTAGGATGCAATTTGAATGGAGTTGATGGAGAGAGAGAAAGACTGCAGAGCGCTCGCGCGTTCACTGATTTAAAGCAATGATATTTGAGTGATTTTAAAACTCTGCAGCTGCAATTTTTTATTTTTTAAATCTTTACAATAAAATAATAACGTGACCCCCGAAAGCCAGATGGAGATGGTTAAATTAGACGCGCATTCGGTCTTTATATTACTGTAGCATAGACTATGATAAGATGATAGGTCTACATGCGTTGTGAACTGCTCCATACTGAGATGGGCTGTCTGTCCCCACCCTGAGCGTTGATTCATCATGCAGAGGCCGTAGAGAAGCCAGATTTAGACATTGCATATAATTCAACAGTTCCATTTCACGCCTTGCTGTTCATATAAATCATTTATTATAATTTACTGGTTTCTCGCAGTTATTTATCCCGGGAAAAGGGAGTGGTTTTGGGCGGTAAATCCCAGTAAATCTCGGTAACCGGGTTCCAGCCAAGTTTTATAGTATGTAAAAAATAAATGTAAAAAAAGACTTTTCATCTAGTAGAATTTGCTGCACACTATTGAGGAAGAGAATCGTCTTTTGAGATCCAGGTGTGTCTGACGACAGCTGATAATCAGCTGAGGAGTCGCGCTGTACCAAAATGAACCAATGGCGGGAATCAATGCAATTGAGCATTAGATGAGGCATTATGAGTAGGATGAGCCTAGTATGCTGATATTTGTTGCTTACTGCATTCGTTTTTATTAAACAGTACATTTTAAATAGTACAATATGTGGTTTAGTACACAGTATGGAGTTTAAGTAAGTAGTAGGCAAGCCAGATTTCGGACACAGCCATGGTTTCAAATTGACATTTTAGTACAAAGGCACGTATAGCTTTAAGGTCAAGCTAACCATGAAAACAATTTCCTTTTCAATTTCCTTTTCCAATAATTTCAGTTCTATAAATGACCTACCTGCGGCAAGGAAAATGAATACAACCCAATAACCCAGCAAGTCATAAATGAGCTATTTGATGTAGTCTGCACAATAGATGATGACGATGATCAATGATTTTATTGCACAGCACTGTGTACCAGTGCTCTCTCCATGTGTAGCAGCAGGTGTTCAAGAGGGCTAATGGAATGATAGTAATTTGAAGAAGTTCATTGAGTATACCCTGTGACGGTTACACTTAGATAACCTGGGTGCCAATGCCAATGTTGCTGCTTTAACTGGTTTTGTTGTTGTCGTTGTTGAATAATATCATATATAATATGCCATTTAGCACACTATTTTATCCAAAGCGACTAACAGTAGTGCACTCTTAGAAAAAACGGTGCTATCTACAACCAAAAAGGCTTGGAAATTATCTTAAGAGTCTTAAGCGGGTTGGTGAGGAGTTAAAATAGATGATTACTTCAATATATTTCTATGTCGACATTACTACTGATAACATATCATACCATGTACCAACACGGGCCACATCTAACATGAATAAAAACATGAATGAGACAAATTAAGTTCAATAAAATCTGACAAAACTCCAAAAACAAACTTTTGTTCAAGTGTGCTTCAAACCAACAAACTCCAACTGAGATTATTTCTGGCAAAACAGAAAAACATGGATGTTAAGAGAGGAAGGAATCCTTTCTTGATAGGAGTATACATATGGTAAATAAACAGTAACTACTGTCACCACTGTCAGGACCTTTACTCAGGATGTTGGCATAGACATGTTATATTACACACGCACGCATCATTGCACGCACGCTCGCACGCCGCACACACACATACACACACACCAATCAGGCTCAATTGAGAGCATTTCCTGTGTTTCATGTTAATCTTGTGGAGTGATTTTTCCATTACGTAAACAGCAACCCTCTCTGCTCTGACAGTTAACCTCCCTCCCTCCGCTTCAAATGAGCTCCCCATTCAGCCCAAAAGACACAAACACACAGGCATATGCACACACACATATGCACGTACGTACGCATTCACGTATGCACACGCACACACACACAGGTTAGCGTTTTTCATCACCAATCTTGTTCTGGAGGCAGCTCTGTAGAGTGGTCACTAGCTGGCACAGCCACAAAGTCTTTAAACTTAACCCTAACCACACTGCTAACCCTAACCTTAAATTAAGACCAAAAAGCACATTTTTGTTTTCATGAATTTTTACAATATAGCACATTTTGACTTTGCAGCTGGCCTATCTAAGGGGAAATCGCTCAGTTCTGCCTCCAGGACTCCAACAATAAACGTCAACCTGCACGCGCACACACACACGCACACGCACACACACACACACACACACACGCACACACACACACAAATGATCCACTAGGACCCATGTACCAGCCCATGATCAATAGTGAGTAAGTACATTTCCTAGAAGTTCTAAAAAGATACATAATCAAATCAAATCAAATGTATTGGTCACATACACATGGTTAGCAGACACTGGTTCAAATACTTAGAAGAACAAACTGCCCTTAATATCTACTTCTATCTATTTCTATCTGGAAATATTGTTGTCTGTCCACACTAAAGTACACAACTAAAACTTAACTATATTAACTAAGTAGTTTTAAGTACATGCCCAATTACAACGAGAGTTATCTGAGACCTGAGCATTAAGATGTCATGTTATTATTTTTCCAGATTACTACACCTAAGTTCCCGAGCTAACACACACAGATCCCCAATGGTGTCCATATAGAGAATGTGGGCTATTTTACTTCAGATAATTATTGGAGTTGGTGCAAAATGAACAATCGTTTTTTTTTCAGAAAATCACATATTAACATAGCAATACATGTTGTATGTTCATGTTCAAAATGCATAAATATGGAAATAGGGTGGGTGAATGAGGGAGAGAAAGGGAGAGAAAGAGGGAGAAAGAGGGAGAGAAAGAGGGAGAGAAAGGGAGAGAAAGAGGGAGAGAAAGAGGGAGAGAAATTGGGAGAGAAAGAGGGAGAGAAAGGGGGAGAGAAAGAGAGAGAAAGAGGGAGAGGAAAGGGAGAGAGAATTGGAGAAGGGAGAGAGGAGGAGAGAAAGGGAGAGAGAGGGAGAGAAAGAGGGGGAGAAAGAGGGAGAGAAAGGAACGGAGGAGAAAGAGGGAGAGAAAGTAGGAAAGGGGACAGAGGAGCGAACGAGAAACGGGGAGAACCGAGGGAGAAAAGTGGGGAGGAAGAGAGAGAAGTAGGAGGGGAGAAAGGAGAGGAAGGGGGGAGAAAGAGGGAGAGAAAGAGGGAGAGAAAGGGAGAGAAAGAGGGAGAGAAAGAGGGAGAGAAATTGGGAGAGAAAGGGGGAGGGAAAGGAAGAGAAAGAGGGAGAGAAAACTGGTATACATGAGGACAATCTGAGGAAGTGTCTGAATAAAGGTCAAAGAGAAGTCATGGAGAAGAGGCATTATGTGGGACAGTCTTCAATGGTATGATATTTGGGGTAGCTATAAATGCCTGTTTATTTTGAGTGTACAGTATGCATGTCACATGCACACATAGGCGGTATATTTGTATGTATGCATAGTATGTTTTAAGTCAGGTTCATGAGTTTATAGCTGTATGAGTGTGGGTGTGAACTGAGCATGTACACAGTATGTGGTTGTATACATGCCTTGGTGGTGCATGTGAGTATGATTGTGTGTGTCTTGTGCCATTGTGAATGCCGCCCATAGGGGCTCCAGTCTCACGTAAGCTTGTGCAGAGCGAGGAGGACGGACAGAAAGCCTGGTGATAGACTCCTCTATAAACTCCTCCCATCTCTTCTCCCCTCCCCTCCCCTCACCGTCTATAGTGGCATACAGGCTTCTACCAGCCGACTGCATGCCAGTCCAGACTCGTCCCACATCACTAACAGATCAAACTGCTACTGTCTCAAACAAAACCTAGCCACTGTATTCTTTTCTCTCTAAGAGGTGGGGCGTGGGGGTGAGGGGGAGTCATGTACCTACTTCACAGAGTATTCCCAAAAGAGTTGTTTGTATTCTTGGTCAGTGTGTTCAACAGCTCACAGAGAGGCAAGCCTGAGTCAACTCAGGTGAAGTGTGTGGCGTTACATTAAACGTCGTAGACCTCACACACAAAGGTGGGTGCATCACATTCGTCAATCCTGGCTCTCACTGATTTCATTGATTTGCCAAATCCGAACAAAGAAGTCATTAACAAAGCTGACACTTGCAGAGCTCTACAGTGAATGTGCTTGAATATCAAATGGACATTCACATACAAAATTGAGTTTCATTAAAGGTAGACTCAGTGTTATGACGTTGCAACGAGTAGCACCGCAGATATTGCGATGAGCCCGATGCAAGACTTTGCTCTCACACAGTCACACAGGGTATCTGTGCATGTGCGTGGGTTCACTTCACGCTGCTACAATGTGGTAGCTACGGGACCAAAACAGCTAAGTTTAGCCTTGCGCTTCAATACTTTCAGTTGCCGTGGAAATTGACCCACTACTGCTGTTTATTACTTTGTGAGTCTACCTTTCAAGCTAAAACTTGCTCCCTGACAGTATTAATGAACACTGAAATAAATAGTCATTCAGACAATACATCAAATCAGAAAGGCACCAAGGAGGCTGGCTATGGCTATTCTCTGCGCTGCTAAAATCACGTAGCCAGAACCCTTTGATTAGGAACAGGGACAATGAGTCCAGACTAGAGTCTCACCCACTTTCCTGTCTTGAACACAAGCTCACTGCACAGCCCAGAGAGAGAGAGAGAGCATAAACGACAGAGAGAGTGAACGCCAGAGAGAGAGAGAGAGCCAGAGTGAGAGAGAGAAAGAGAGAGAGCGAAAGAAAGAGAGAGAGGGGGAGAGAGAGACAGTGAAAGTGAGGGAGAGAAAGGAAGAGAGAGAAAGAGAACCTTCAAGCTACAGTACATAGCCAGACTTTTATTCCATTCCATTAACTATTATTCTTCTGATTTTACACAACACACAATTCACACCGGTTGATCACTTCCTAGCCTGCTTCCTACCTAGCTCACGGTTCATACACATTTTGACAGACGGAATTTCATGACTTTTAAACAACTTTTCATTACCAACAATTGGCGGCGTCTATGTATGTACACAGTTTATTAGGTACATCCATCTAGTACTGCGTTGGACCCCCATGGCCTCCAGAACAGCCTGAATTCTTCAGGGAATGGAAATGTTGCTAAATTGGTATCAAGCGACCTAACATGTGCCAGGAAAACATTGCCCACACCGTTACATCACCACCAGCAGCCTGTACCATTGTCACCGGGCAGGATGGGGCCATGGATTCATGCTGCTTACACCAAATTCTGACTCTGTCATCAGCATGACGCAACAGGAACCGGGATTCGTCCACTCCTCAATTGTCCAGTGTTGGTGATTGTGTGCCCACTGGAGCCGCTTCTTCTTGTTTTTAGCTGATAGGAGTGGAACCCGGGGTGGTCGTCTTCTGCAATAATAGCCCATATGTGACAAGGACCGACAAGTTGTGCGTTCCGAGATGCCGTTCTGCACACCACTGTTGTACTGCGCCATTATTTGCCTGTTTGTGGCCCGCCTGTTAGCTTGCACGATTCTTGCTATTCTCCTTCGACCTCTCATCAACGTGCTGTTTTTGGCCACAGGACTGCCGCTGACTGGATGTTTTTTGTTTGTCACACCATTCTCTGTAAACCCTAGACACTGTCGTGCTTGAAAATCCCAGAAGGACGGCCGTTTCTGAGATACTGGAACCGGTGTGCCTGGCACCAATGATCATACCACGCTCAAAGTAGCTTAGGTCACTCGTTTTGCCCATTGTAACGTTCAATCGAACAGTAACTGAATGCCTCAATGCATGTCTGCCTGCTTTATATTGCAAGTCATGGCCACGTGACTCACTGTCTGTAGGAGCGAAACATTTTAATCGAATGTGTCAGCCAGACAGCCACTCACAAAGTAGACTACCAATCGCTGTCCATGGTGCTGAAATTGCAACATGTCTATGCGGTTGCATGCCTATCGAATCGATGATAGGCTTTCTATGGTGCCAGGGCTTAGCTTTGCTTTAAATAATGGATACATGTTTATTGGTAGGCCTACATAAGAAGCATTAGGCTCTCGTCTGATACAAGCTTTTGAACACCTGAGTAAGCTCCACTCATTGCACTGGCACCGTCGTAGCCTTGACCACAGCATTTGTTTGCCGATATTCCCCTTACACAACCAGTTAAATATTTTATTTTTCAAGACCTGGGGCACTTTTTCAGTCACATTCCTGAAGCCCAAGAAACAAATACTTAGCTTCCTAGTACATATGGAAATTAAAAAGGTTTATAAATGAATTACTTTTTGGAGGGTTACTGTGAAAATGATTTATTACATTTAAAAAAAATTGACATTAATGACAGGAGCATGGGCCCCCAGAGCTCGTGGGCCCCCCCGCCTTTTGGGGGCTGCGGGGGTGTCCGATATGCCAGTGCATGGGGTCAACCCTCAGTCTGGAGAGCAACTGGGTGTGCAGGCTTTTCATCAAGCCCTGCTCAAACACATCAGAGACAGTTTATCAAGGTCCGGTTGAGCAGCTAATTTCTAAAATGTGGTTTGTTAGAATGGGACTGGAATAAAAACCTGCACACCCATTAGCTCTCCTGGAGGATGGCTGACCAGCCTTGATGTATAACATTGCAACAGTGTTAATACTATTGTAATTATTCTGCACTATAGCCTATTTATTGCCTTACCTCCATAACTTGCTACATTTGCACACACTGTATATATATTTTTCTGTTGTATTTTCTGACTTTATGTTTTTTTTTTTTTTTTTTACCCATATGTAACTCTGTTGTTTTTATTGCACTACTTTGCTTTGTCTTGGCCAGGTCGCAGTTGTAAATGAGAACCTGTTCTCAACTGGCTTACCTGGTTAAATAAAGGTGAAAAATAAATAAATAAAAAAAATATATAAAAAAAATTACATTACAACCAAATACGTTTTATGCCTTTTGAAATAATCCGCTCATTCAATATATCAAAGATCAAATGGCTATGGTAGGCTACACATTTTTTTATTCAGCTGAAGCAAGCCCACAAATTTTCTTCAGGAAACTTACCTTTTTCAGTTTAGTCATATTTATCTTAGCTACCTTAGACGTTTACTTTGCAGGCGGACTAGCATCTATTGAGTTGCAATGTCCCATACATTGGATGCCCAAATCAACTGGAAGTATCTACAAAACAATTTTTGAAGCCACATAATGCAAAAGAAAGGCTACATCAAATATTTTTTACTAAAATTACTGTTCGCGATTCAGAAATTATTATTTTGATTTACATGATTCGATTCACCACGATTGACCCGAATCCCAACTAATACAATGTTGAAGTGAATCATTCATTTTGTCAAAAATAATCATCTAAATGAATCATATGAATCATTCAAAAAAGTAAATCAACTTTGTATGGCCTTATTCGCTAGTGTCAGTGGAAAGGTTTTTGGGAAATGACTAGCGGACTAAACTCCACTGGAGTTTAGTCTGCTAGGACATGCCAAAAACATTAATACATGCTAATAATAGCTAAACAGTTATTTAGAGTACAATATATGTTTTGAATTGGCTACCTAGTTATTAGTCTGTTCTCTATCATATTTTAAAAGCTTACCTGCCTCTCTCTCCTTGAGCAACGGCCCACTCGTCTTGCACACATGCAGGTGATGCACGCAAACACAGACGCCCTAAAGTCTAGTTCCAATCCTGGCTGATATGTTGATTTTTATTTGATTGATAAAATATTTAAAAACTGTTTCTAAATAAATTACATTAACAGAAATTATGAAATTATTTTCCATGACCTTTCCAAAACTTTAGGATTGTATTAATAAATTAATAAAAAAAATGACCGTAGGTGACACAATGACATGAATCTACCCATTAACCAAGGTAGCTTTGGTTGTACAGCATCAGCTACCTCATAGCCAATACTAAATAATACCTGCACTGCACATTCAGTGTAAGGAGACTGATTCATAGCATTGTTTGTCGGTTGGCCTGATGTTATGCAGGTGGCTCATTCTAAGAGCATACTAAACCATGACTCCTGGAGTTGCAGACTAAACATAACACTGTATATTTCCCTCTGAGTGCTTATTGTCTGAATCAGAGAGGGCTAGTATACTGACCAATACCTAGTGAGGGGGGGGGGCTCCATTGGAGCCTGGCTGTTTCCTTTAGCTCCAGGAAGAGAGGCGTGGACGAAACCTTAATTCAATACAACATTAAGCTCTAAATGGGACTTTTCCTGTTAGGAGGTCATGGTGGTGGAGGTGAAAATGGACTGGGTGGGTTTCAAACTCCCAACTCCCAACCACGGGTGGTAGAGGGGTCCACAGGTCAAGAGGGGCACCAAGAACACTCGGAGGAAGGCAGAGAAACTCCTAGAAAGCCCATGTACTGTAGGTGGTGGCTGTTTAGAGCTGGGTCTACTCAAAGCGTTGGAGATTGATAGCTGCCAGAAGGGAACTACTGTCCATAGGGGCAACATAGTTGTGTAGCCCCGAGGGAGTCTGGGTTTGTGTGTGGTAAACGACAGTGAGATGAGAGGATAAACAGAGCGCCAGAAACAGGATAAATCAGCACTGGCAGTAAACAACCTGGTATAAACACAGGCTCCATGGCCCCAGACAACACACAACACAACACAAACCCATTAGAACTTTGACCCAGTTCAGTCTTCCGCTTTGGACTCCCTAAGACCTGGGGCCGTATGTATCAAGCATCTCAGAGAAGTGCTGGTTTAGGATCAGTTGTACCTTTTAGATCACAATGAATAAGATTGAATGGACAGGGGGGATCTGATGTCAGATCAGTATTCCTCCTCTGAGATGATTGATACATTAGTCCCCTGATCCCAAGTCAGATTCTCCTCACTCAAAGTTTGCGTGAGACCGAAATCTGGACTGTACATTATTATTATTTGGGGAGCAAAATGGGAATAGATTTGGATTGAATCTACTGTCTCGTTACAATGATGTTATGATTTGCCATGGAGATGCATTCTGATAGTCTGTCTGTGTTGTTATTGGTTGACAATGATGCTGTGACTGTCAGGGGTAGAAAATAGTGACTTCTGGGAGGGATGTTGACTGACAGAGGAGAGAGTGAGTTAGTGTTGGCCCAGTCTAACCACAGATGTTCTTCTCCCTCCCACAGGCCTTGGGCTAGGGACAGACTGGGCTACTGTATCTGGATATCAGCCCATATCAGAATAGTCATCATTGAACAATTACTGTAATAGTGAGGAGAATGAGTTCCAGTTGAGTTCAACTGGGTTGAATATAATGTGATATAATAGAATTGGGATAGCATTGGAATTGGAATGCTGACATAAAGGGATAGCGTTATGGTATACTGTAGGTCTATCATTATAAGCCTGGCCCCAGATCAGTCTGTCAAGTTTGGCAAAACAATTACGATCAAGGGAGCTAAAAAATCACAAACTGATCTGTAACCAGTTTAGGGTAGCAAAATTCCAGTAACTTTCCCAAAATCCCCAGGGTTTTTCCAGAATTTCCAGGATTCCAGGATGTTACCAGAATGTTGCAACCCTTAACCAGGCTAGTATGACATGGTGAAGGTTAGAGCCTTAAAGTCGGGTTAAGTCTTTCTGTATACAATGTTATTAGGCGTTACCACTAACAGGCTAGTGTGTGTGTGTGTGTGTGTGTGTGTGTGTGTGTGTGTGTGTGTGTGTGTGTGTGTGTGTGTGTGTGTGTATGTGTGTGTGTATATATATATGTGTGTGTGTATGTGTGTGTGTGTATATGTGTGTATTTGTGTGTGTGTGTGTGTGTTACCTGTAGATTACACCATGTTGGTGAAGGAACATGAGGGCAGATGTGACCTCGGCAGCGTAGAAGCGAGAGCGCGCCTCGTCAAACTTCCTGGAACGCTGGATCTGGAACATCAGGTCTCCTCCGTTCACGTACTCCATCACAAAGAACAGACGGTCCTGGAGATGGAGGGAGAGAAAGAGATGGAGGGAGAGAAGGAGATGGAAGGAGAGAAGGAGATGGAAGGAGAGAAGGAGATGGAGGGAGAGAAGGAGATGGTAGGAGAGAAGGAGATGGAAGGAGAGAAGGAGATGGAAGGAGAGAAGGAGATGGAGGGAGAGAAGGAGATGGAAGGAGAGAAGGAGATGGAGGGAGAGAAGGAGATGGAAGGAGAGAAGGAGATGGGGGAGAGAAGGAGATGGAAGGAGAGAAGGAGATGGAGGGAGAGAAGGAGATGGAAGGAGAGAAGGAGATGGAGGGAGAGAAGGAGATGGAAGGAGAGAAGGAGAAAGAGAAGGATATGGAGGGAGAGACATAGAGAAAGACAGTAAGACAAGAAGAAGGGTTCAACCTTTTTCACCCATTGATAAAAAAAACACTATGAAGACCATAGAATAGTTGTTCTTTTTATATGTGTCAGTCTCAAAGAATAAAGAGTTAATGATCAGATCTCATTGTGGAAGTAGATTGTTAACAGTTATCATGTAGCCTCCCATCCACACCCCACCCACAGCCCCTATCCTCCAGACACAGACAGCTGTCTCTCTGGGAACAACGGTCCCCTTCCTGAATTCCAGCTCCCCATATAGGAAATCAGATTGAGGCGGGCGGGGGGTGGGTATATAAAAAGCCCTCTATATAAGAAAGGAGTGGCCCCGTCCGAACCATTGTTTAACGCCACAGGGGTCACGAAGCTATAAGAACCATTGACACATATTCCATCATTCCTATTACAATGGCGCTTTACCCAGCAATGGAGAAAAATACCTTCATTAGATATACAATTTGCCTTCCAAGCAGTGTTTACTCCACAACTGGGAATTTACAGATGGTCCTTGGTAGTATTAAGGCATAAGGAGGATTTGTCAAAAAGTTGACAGCCCACCTACAGTACTGTATTACTGACACCCCACCTACAGTACTGTATTGCTGACACCCCACCTACAGTACTGTATTACCGACACCCCACCTACAGTACTGTATTCCTGACACCCCACCTACAGTACTGTATTACCGACACCCCACCTACAGTACTGTATTCCTGACACCCCACCTACAGTACTGTATTACTGACACCCCACCTACAGTACTGTATTGCTGACACCCCACCTACAGTACTGTATTACTGACACCCCCACCTACAGTACTGTATTACCGACACCCCACCTACAGTACTGTATTACCGACACCCCACCTACAGTACTGTATTACCGACACCCCACCTACAGTACTGTATTACCGACACCCCACCTACAGTACTGTATTACCGACACCCCACCTACAGTACTGTATTACCGACACCCCACCTACAGTACTGTATTACTGACACCCCACCTACAGTACTGTATTACCGACAACCCACCTACAGTACTGTATTACTGCACTCTGTGTAGGAGCAGGTCTAGTACTTGTAAATCAACGGACAAAGAGGAGTCTCAATCTGGTTATTTATTGAAGGTCGTTAAAGGGAATATAATATGTAGTCAATTTCTCAGGAGCATGGATTCTAGTATAGGATATGATGAGCTGGATCTCAAACTTCAGCCCTTTTATACTTCAGCAGTTGTCACACAGTGTTTGAGAGATACTCAGCCGAAACCCCAAAGAGCAAGCAGTGCAAATCTGTGATGAATCACTGAGATCAATGTGGTTTAGTGATTTAAGTGACATGAGGAGACTAGAATGCGTGGCGTTACAATATTAGTGTAATGCTTGGCCTCTGCTTCATTGACTGCAGCCTTGAACTGTACAACCTAACACAGGAGAAAATAGGCTTCCCTCTCACACTGCTAGGGGAATGGTAGGCTACCCTCTCACACTGCTAGGGGAATGGTAGGCTACCCTCTCACACTGCTAGGGGAATGGTAGGCTACCCTCTCACACTGCTAGGGGAATGGTAGGCTACCCTCTCACACTGCTAGGGGAATGGTAGGCTACCCTCTCACACTGCTAGGGGAATGGTAGGCTACCCTCTCACACTGCTAGGGGAATGGTAGGCTACCCTCTCACACTGCTAGGGGAATGGTAGGCTACCCTCTCACACTGCTAGGGGAATGGTAGGCTACCCTCTCACACTGCTAGGGGAATGGTAGGCTACCCTCTCACACTGCTAGGGGAATGGTAGGCTACCCTCTCACACTGCTAGGGGAATGGTAGGCTACCCTCTCACACTGCTAGGGGAATGGTAGGCTACCCTCACTTGGTTGCTAACGCTACATTCAGTAGGAGATGAGGAGAGGGTTAAATGTGGTAAAGAATTGTTACAGTGTAAACTGGGGTGAAATGTGGTAAAGCATTGTTACAGTGTAAACTGGGGTGAAATGTGGTAAAGCATTGTTACAGTGTAAACTGGGGTGAAATGTGGTAAAGCATTGTTACAGTGTAAACTGGGGTGAAATATGGTAAAGCATTGTTACAGTGTAAACTGGGGTGAAATATGGTAAAGCATTGTTACAGTGTAAACTGGGGTGAAATGTGGTAAAGCATTGTTACAGTGTAAACTGGGGTGAAATATGGTAAAGCATTGTTACAGTGTAAACTGGGGTGAAATGTGGTAAAGCATTGTTACAGTGTAAACTGGGGTGAAATGTGGTAAAGCATTGTTACAGTGTAAACTGGGGTGAAATGTGGTAAAGCATTGTTACAGTGTAAACTGGGGTGAAATGTGGTAAAGCATTGTTACAGTGTAAACTGGGGTGAAATGTGGTAAAGCATTGTTACAGTGTAAACTGCTTATGGGCACTGCACTATAGCTGCACTCTGCTACAGCCTCTCCAACCTAATGTGTGTATGTGTGTGTACATCGGAGTGGTTGGATAGAGCAGAAGACACATTTCTGTCTCCTATTCTCCTTCAGGTAAATGCTGTGCTGTAAACGTATGTTCTGTCCAGTAAATTAGTGTTCTGCTTTTTTTCAGGACATTGAGCAATTTAGCAATTTAGTGACTTGTGGTGCTTTCAGTATTTTATCAAAGCTATAAAACTCTCTGAACAGTTATTGGAACAATTTTTCTAGGCTGAAGGAGTCTGCCTTCCATTTCCAGCAGTCCACCTCAGCGTGTTGTTCTCCTTCTGAAAGCTCATTTAAACAGGATACTGAAATAGTGTTCGAGTCACAGCAAGTCCTACCCAATCAAATGTGAATAAACATTTCCTTCTTCTAATTAAAAAAGGTACAGATACTGGCTTCCCAGCGCCGACACAGAGAAAAGCCCCGATGGCCAGATAACTGCCAAGACCCAAAACAATCTGTGTGTGTGTGTGTGTGTGTGTGTGTGTGTGTGTGTGTGTGTGTGTATTGAACAACCAAATCATGCTTTCCTTCAGCTCTTTTCAAGAGATATGTTCCATAACATTTACAAAGAGAAGGTACATGGTGAGGTTGGTATGGTCATTAATGGTTTCATTCCATGTTCTCACAAGCAGTCTCTCAAGAACTGAACATTAATATAGCCCATCAGTAAAATTAAGTACACCAATTTCTTTGAGAATTGGTGTTCTATTTATTTTTTTACCACTGTTTAAGTAATTACTGTAGGAGATTACCACACTGTTCTTTCCCATTAAAAACTAGGATTTAATAGCAGCTTTGTGATGCTGATAGCAGCAGGAAATCATTATAATTTCTGTACAGAGCATATTGTGTGTGGCCCTGGACACAGCTCAAGAATGTTTATCCTGAAGCCCAGAACAGCAGGCTGACCCTACTCAGTGAGACACACACACTCACTGGTATACACACACAGACATGCACACACGCACAGAGACACACACACATAAACCCACACGCACACCACACACGCACAGACCACTTACTGACCTATACTGTTTCACACACACAAGCAAGCAAGTGAGCATGACACACACACACACATAAATCACATACACATTTAGTAATTGTGATACATGACTCATGAGAGACACAAACTGATGTAATTAAAGTCTGTAACATAGTCACCCATACACATCCACATGAGGACAGACACGCACATACTGTACACACACAGAACAATCACTCAACCTCTCACCCGCTCCTACTCATTCTCATTCAGAGATTAAGTGCACACACACACACACACACACACACTGCACACAAACACAGTACTCCCATTCCACCCAGTCTCCCTCCACAGGCGCAGTGTCCCATTACATTATTACAATGTGTTTCACATTAAATGTATCAAGGCAAACTATTCAATTACAGAACAATACTTTTTTCCTGAGCTGTCAAGTCTGACCCACTGCTCTGATGGAAGCTGAGGTTTTGAGAGGAACAAGTAAAGATAATAAATACTGGGAGCCATTGAATCATATTCTCTCTCTGATACTGAAGAGATTGCTGGTGAACTCCATCAGACTGCGGTCCTTCTCTGACTTCTGTCAAAGGACACACACACATTTGTACAGACACAGTCTCACACAAACATGCGCTCTAAAAAATGCGGGGTTAAAAACAATCCAATTTGGGTTGTTTGGTAACCCAGCGCTGGGTAAATATTGGACAGAACACACGCTGGGTTGTTTTGACCCAGCCAGTTGGGTTGCGTGAATAACCCACCAAATTGGGTTGTTGGGATTAGCCAAACATGGGTTAATTTTACCATCAGTTGGGTATTTTTTACTCTCATGCTGGGGTGACCTAGCAGCAGTTATTTTTGTATGTAGTCGTTAGGTTATTTTCAGGATGTGTGGCTTATTAGGGGCGTGGCTTTCAGCTGGATCTTACTGGCCACCCGTGAGAGTAAATGTCATTACTGTTGATCGTCTTAAGTTTACATCCTGCAAATTCAAATGTTCCTTATTATTTTTACACATTCTTCTATTAAATTATGATTATTTATTACATATTTTAATAATTATTGCCTAATAAAGGTACAGTATACCACCTTATTGTATCCCAACAATGGGATTTACA